AGTGATTCTTTTTGCACGGTGATAAAGTAAGGAACAAAAGCAGACAGAGATGAGACAGCACATTGCAGCAGGGCAGGCGCTCCGCAGGTGGGAGGTGGGGGGACGGGCACTGCACCCTGCTGCCCTGCTCAGGGCTAAGGAGCCAGCAGAGGAGGGCAGGGATGCAATGCAGGCTCCTGCCTGCCCTGCAGGCTCTGTGGGCTCTGCTCCCACTGCCAGCCCCAGCCCTGGATGCTCACAGCCCTCCAAACCAGACTCAGTGCTCGGGCTCCGCTGATGTGTAGGATTGGGGTTCTCTGGTTATTGGGGTTCTCTGGTGATTTCAGTGATAGCTGGAGTTACAGGCAAATATGGCAAAAAAAAAAAATAAAAAAAAATTAAAGAAACCAAAGGAACAACACACTGGATGAACTGATTATGAGGAAAGGGGCCATGGTATTCCAGTTAGTCAGAAATACTACGGCAATTTGGCGCAATGCTGCTAGATACTGTTGGTTTAAAATGGACCTTTTCATTTCAAAGCTGTACATAAAACCTGCAACAGAGAGAAGAAGCAGAGGTGTGTTAGGGGATACCAGAGAATGGCAATTCTGCTCCCACAGCCCCTCACCGCATTCCCAGTCCAAACCCACAGGGTACACCCCAGAACAGAGCCCCCACCAACAAAATGTGGCTCTGGAAGGACAGCAGAGGAACGAAGGAGGGCCCTGAGCAAACAGAGGGGGGACAGCCAACAGTGAGGAGCTCAGAGCTGACAGTCTCTTCTCCAGCCCTGCACCAATGCTGGGGCAAAGGGATGGGGAAGGAGATGCACAAAGTCACGCAGCTTCAGGGCTGCCATCCAGGAGAGCCCAGATGTGCAGCTGGAGAGAAAAAGAGGACACAGATACTCACTCCCTCCTGCTTACACCCCTGCCTGCTCCATCCCAAAGGGCACCTCTGGGTGCTTATAGCTCAGTAGGACATCTGTGATACATGTTGATGGGTAACAAGAGGTGTTTAGATGCTGGTTGCCATCACCTAGGTTGGGATGCTCTTGGCCTTCCAAACTTTCCCCACATTCTGTAACATCAAAGAACAACACCAGGGTTTGCATTAGGAGCACTAAAGAGCTGCAGCTTCTGCATGTGGGTCAGGCCAGCAAGAAGCCCAGCTCACTGCTGCCACAAGCTCAGGCTCTGGCCAGCAGCAGCACCCAAGCACAGAGCTCTACAGGCTGTCACAGGTTTGGACCCAAAATATGTCAGAGCCTGAGATGGTTGTGGCATCCAAGCCTCAAGTGAAGTGAGAAATCCAAGAGACTCTCTTTAATTCAGCTCATGCAAACTGCACTGAGAGGGCTTTGATCCCACAGGTGACAGCTAACCCTTCCATCCCTGCGGCTCTGCAGAGCTCACTGGCAGCAGAGGTGGCTTTGCAATGCAGGCTGTCAGAACAACGCAGGTTCTTACAGCTCCTGTCCCACACCCCCAGCAGTGCCCACGCCATGCCTGCAGCTGGCCAGCTCCTTACCCTCACTCTCCCTGTCACGCAGCTGCTGGCTGGCCATGAGCGACGACTGGCTGAGGACGGCATCAGACATCCGAGCAGAGCTGAGCGCTTTTCCTGCCATTAAACTCATCCCAGGCAGGTTATCTAACTGCACCTGCGGAGACACCAGGACACAAATCAAAGTGGGACCAGAGCCAGGCACCTTGGCTATTTCTGACTGCTGCCCAGGGAGTTTCTGCCAGCCTTCAGTAAGGGCTTCAGAGTACAAGAGTACACATCAGAGAGCGCAGGTGCAGGCAATGTCACCTCAACATGGAATGGAGGGACAACTCGACTCCCTTCCAGACTTACATGTAACTAATTAGAGAAAAGCCCTCCTCTACAGCAGTAGAAGCTGTAACAAGAAACATGCCACAATCTGGGTCTGATTGTTCTCAGAGATTCGAAATGCAGAAAGCAGAGCAGCTGCTCTTTGCTCTTGGTGTGGTCAGGTCACTGAGCACTGCAGAGCTGAAAGCTGGGCTCTGTGCATCTGTAAAACTTCTGCAGCCAGAGCCAAGCCTGGGGCAAATGGTTTCATCAGAAATACTCTGGGGGCAAAAGGAAATATGCAGCCAGCTCTGGGACAAATCAGGCAACACATGGGCAAAGGAGAACTTCCACATTGGTCTCTGTGAAAATGTTTTCAGTATTAAGCAACTGGGCATGCTGACTGCTGCGTCCCAACAGCACTTCATCCCTAGAAGCCCTGCAGAGCAGGGTGCTGCCTTTCTTTTGTGTCACTTCCCCCATAACCCACACACATCCAGGAGCTGCTGGGCACAAGACTCTTCCCACTTACGTAGGCATCATCACTGTTCTGGATGGTGTGATGTCTCTGCAGGGTGCGGGGCCGCGGGTGCTCACTGGACGCTGGCCGTGCTGGGTATCCCAGCCCGTTGTGGTCAGGCACCTGCATGGCTTGGCCAGGGGAGCTCCTGTCCATACAGTTCCCTACGACGGATTCTTGAAATCAAATGAAACAGAAAAGTGTCAGATTAGCACAAGGAACCATGGTAGGTCTTGGCCAACACGTGCCACTGCAGCACACACCAATGTCACTCGCACTGTGCTGCCTGCCAGGTGGGAAGGGAATTGCTGGCTGCTCTGGCTCAAGCACTGCAGCACCAGGGCTCCCTGGGATGGCCCACAAACCTCTCTGCTCCTGTAGCAGCCTCCATCTGCCTCCCCTCCAGCCCTGCACCCTCCTCCATGCATTGCTCACATTACACAAGAGAAGGAGAAGGGTCTCCTCCACCTCCGACACAGGATGTTCTTAGAAGGGCCCCTTGGCAATTGTATGCAACAGATCTGGCTGGAAGAGCTGCCAGGATAGTACTTGTTATCAGATGACTTCTCCCTGCCCTCCTCCAATCTGGCTGTAGGAGTACAAGAGCATTCTGCCTGGCAAAGTCCATCTGCACTGCAAGCTCTTCTGAGCAAGGGTAAAGGCTACATTCCTATCAAGCAGAACCTATCGTCATTAAGTACATGATGTTTTGAATAAAGTCCTGAGCTATGGAGAAGCCTATTGCTGGCTGTGGTGCACGTAAACAATTCTCTCTCAGTGAGCAATCCTGCAGAGCACAAACATGGGGATGAGGCCACGGGCCCTCAGGAGCTGCCCTGACATGACACGGCCGCAGGTGGATCCCAACAGCAGTTATCAGGTTTGCAGGGAATGGTCAGCAGGAATCAACCCCTGGTTGTGCCAGCAGTGAGACATTCCTGGCTGGGACTGTGCCCTGGGAGCTGGCAAGATGTGTGCTTTCCAGAGACTCGTCCCTAACATTATTAAAACTCAAACAAGTCCTGGTTATACCCTGAGCACCCCACGCTTCTCCCCAGCACGCAGGCAGCACTGCTGGAGCGTCCATCCCAGCAGCAAGGCATTGAGCTCAGAGCCCCCAGAGCCCAGCCAGCAGCCGGAGCGCAGCCGGCCTCCTTCCTTTTGCACATCTGTGGGGTTAAACTCAGTTAATGGTCAGCATTCCCGGAAAGCAAGAAGGAAAACATGAGGTAAGGCAGTGCTGGCAGTGCAGGGCCGCCCACGCAGTGCTTGGGGCCTTTCCAACTGTGGGAATGGTCGGGGCAGGAATTGCCAGCAGCGGGGAGCAGCAGCAGTAAGGAGCTCAGAGTGCAGGCTGCTTCCCTTGCCCCTGCCCCACTCCGGCAGCGAGGGACCCTTTCATCCCAGGCAGCCTTTTGTCAGTGCATGTGATGCTGGCACCCGGCTTCCCAGCACTGGGGAAAGGTTTCCCACGGGCAGTGCTCCCGACCCCAGGTTGGAACAAGCCTGCAGCTGAGCCGCTCGAATGTGGTTTAGTCATCCCCTAACCACAGATTTGGTTGAAACTCTCATGATCTGCAGTTACCTTCTGTGGCAGATGCTCAACTGGCTTTTAAAGCAGGGTCAATGCACTCTCTTAGAAGGCATGAATCCTGCTGAGCCCCCGCAAATCTGCGCTCCTCCTTCAAGCAGCATGCATTTCACAAGCTGGGGAGAAGGAGGAGATATCTGCCCTCTCAGCTGTCCCATCCCCACAGAGGGGATGGCTGGAAAACCCCAAGCTGTGTCTGAGAAAGGCAGCCCTGCAGAAAGCCATCTCGAGGTGCCAGTGCTGGGGTGCACACCTCCTGCTGCCATCCCTCAGCACCTGTAACACTTGGGTTGTGCTACAGGCAAGCAAGCAGCACCAGGGCATTCAGGGTGTTTGCAGCAAGGTTTTACAGGATTGAACTGTAGGAAATGTACCTAGGTCTGCTTAGATGTCTGCTCTGTTTGTAAGTGAAGTAACACAGGCCAGATTCCAAGTGGGTTATTAAAGCCAGGAGGAAAGCTCTGAGCAGCTGCATCTCAGAGCACAGTTTACTATACGAGCCCTCCAAACAGCCCCTGTCAGAAGTGCTTACACAATGCAACTTGCAAACATTTACTTGCTTTTTACTCATTTACAAAGTCTTGTTGTCTAAAGTCCTTTTCCCTTGTGTAACTTGTTTTAGCACCATCAGTACTGGGGCAGAACTTTAGCTTCTAACTTCTTTAAATCTTATCACTTTGCACATTTTGGACTAAGATATTATGATGTAAACTCAAGATTTGGTTCAAAACACACTGCCACAGCTTTCAAATCCCACTTAACCTGGGGTTACTCTTCCCTTTTGTGCTGCAAACACCATAGGGATATTAAAGCCTGAGAGAAAACACATCAGTAACACAAAATCAAGGAAGACTTCAGAAAAGCCAGGCCTTGTCCCTGTCCCCTGCTCTGAGGGACACAGCTTGGCATGCCCACACTGCTCTCAGCACCTCTCTGTTCCCAGCCAGTACTTTCCCAACAAACCCACGCTGTGTCCCCAAACAAAACAGTGCCTCCTGTACCCAGGACACTGCTCCCCTGCAATAGGGTTCCCTGTGCCAAGGGCAAGCTGATGGCTTCAGACCAGTACAGCTCAGTCCTGCAGTGAATACTGATCCACCCAGCTCAGCCTGGAAAGTCTCTCTTCAAAACCCTTTTAGCAAGGGGGTAGGATTGTGTTTTTTCCTACAGAGAAAGCCTGTAATTATAGCTTGGGCAGGAATTTCTCTTACAGCACATCACTGTCAATGCAGCCACCAAGGAGTAAGGGCTCAATTGTTTCCAACTAGCAGGAAAGGGCTTCACATGCTAATGGCAAGCTTCAGCTCCCTGCCTTTAGAATCAACTCCTTCCAGCTAAAGCAGGGCTCCAGCCTCACTGCTGCTTCCCAAAGTGTTTGAGCAGTGTAAAGCAGACTTAGCAGCATCTATCACCATTCTTATTTTGCAAGTTTATGGAAACCTTAGCAATGCCTGGACTCACAGTTCTGCTCCTAAGAGAAGGAATACACCACATTACAGGGCTTCCAGAAAGAAGACCTTTTCTGGGTACTTACTTATACCTGATGGGGGATCACCCCCAACAAGAAGAAACGAGTCAACAGATCCTAGCATCTCTTCAGAGACAGCACTATCATGGTCCTGGCCATTATCTGCCTACAGAAGTAGGTCACATTCCAAAGAGAGGAATCTAGCAGAGTTCTTATTTAACACTGTTTATTAGAGAGACTATGCCTGCAATTCATAGCCACAGAAGCCAGAAAGAATCTAGGTAATTCTGTGCTATGCAAAATATGTCACGAAACCATTGCAGTACTAGGTAGGGATGGTGTTCTCTGGCAGAACACGAGCAGTATGCAGCCAGTATGGAAAAGCATTTCAGCCATGCGAGTGGCCCTGAGCCTTACCTCTGCTGGGCACCTTATTCCTACTGAATCCAGCAGCGGGCTGATGTCTGTATTGATGCGTCCCCAGCTCCTGAACGTGATTAGCAGTTCCTAGCAAAGATTCTGGGTCCCCATGCCCTCCTGCATTTACAAGCAGAGGGGTCTCGTGGCAACCTTTGGTCAATGTATTTGAATTCTTACTGTCTGGAAAGCTGTCCCTGGCGCCCTCGCACGCACAGTCCTCCTCCATGCTCTCCGAGTGGAACAGAGCTGGCTGGTGTACGTATCCATGTGGTGGCACTGATGCAGGTACCTGCTGGATACATTCTTGCGCCCTGATTTTTAAGAGATGCTGGGGGCTGTTCTGTGGATGATAGGTGTCAGCACTCTGATAAGGCAAAGACAACGACTGACGCTCCGACAGGCTCTGTCCCATGCTGGTGCCCATGCTTCCAGCATCCCCTTGACTCATGTGCCTGAACAACTCTTGAAACTCTTGCTGCTGCTGCTGCTGTTGCTGCTGCTGCTGCCGTCGTTTGATGAGCTGTGCAAATTCTGCCTGGGGCAGCCGCATGTCCGTGTGCCCCGTGAGAGAGTGACGGGGAGAAAGAAGTCCCTGGAGGATGTGCGGTACCTGCTGGTGTCGGCTGTAGTCAGGAGGTGTTGGGGACAACAGTGCTTGCTGTAGTGCCGATGCAGTGTAGTGCTGTTGTTGCTGATGTGCATTTTGAGGGAAACTGGGATACTGGTCAAGCTGTGGGACTTTGAGAGCTTGCTGAGCTGGAGGAAACCCAACTCCTCCTGATGGGCTGTAGTTACTGGGGGAAACACGAGGCTGCTCTGGGAACAGGTGGGGGTGTAAGTGCACCTGGTCGTAGTTGGCGGGGGGATTCCTGTACACGTTCAGACTGCAAAGAACAGAAAAGAACAAGTGACTGCACTGTGGCAGCTCCAGCCAATGAGGTGTGCAGGGCTGTCTTTGGTGCTCCCACCTCACACAGGGCTTTATCCACCGTACCCACATGAGAGCAGGGAGGCAACAACTACTCCAAAGGTAGAGTGCCCATCATCCTGTGCTCCAGGTCACCCACGAGGGCAGCTGCAGTGCAAGGTGGTGCAGCTAGTAAATGTAAGGGAAGCAGGAACCCTGACGGTACCGAGAAGAAAATATGATCTGGGAAAAGCATCTGTTTCATGTAAAAGCACTCTTCTGTTTAACTTTTCCACTTCCTGCCCTGCCCTGGCAGGAGACAGGGACAGCCACTCCTGGCACAAGGTGCTTCCCAAGGCACAAAAACCCACAGCCTTACACACTCTCAGAGCTCCCAGCCTGGGCCAGGAATTGCTGCCAGGAGTCAGTTTCACCCCCAAATCAAGGGGCTGATGAAGAACCCCCAGAACTCCACCTGACAGCCAGAAGTTCCACCTCACACCCAGCCCCATTCCCAGCTCAGGGGGGGATGTGGTGCAGCAGTGCCAGTGGCCTCACCTGTGCGACTCGGCGCTGTCGGCACTGAGCTGCTTGGACAGCTGCCTGTGGCCATAGGTGAGGGAGGCCATCAGGTTGGCGCGGTGCTGCATCTGGATCTGGTTGGCACTGGGGTTGATGGACATACCCCGTGTGTGGGAGGACATGCCCTGCCCGGCCACCGAGGCCCCTTGCAGGAGGTTGTTGCTGACCATGTCGCCGGGTTCCTGCACTTGGATGGTGACCTGCTGGGCCTGGGACTGCTGCTGCAGGGCCAGACATGTCAGCCCCATGGTTGGGGGAGGGGAACAGTTACCAGACTGTGGGAAGATCGTGCTGTGGGACGGCATCCCTTGGAACTGGGACTGGGAGGCTGCACCTACGAGGAAGAAAGACTCTCAGCACCCACATCAACCCAGGGCAAGGCTCAGGAGAGAGCAGCACGCACAACCCCAGGTCACACGGCAAGGAGAGCGCTACTCCTGGCAACTCTGACACTGCTTCAGGGTGCAAGGGTCAAGCTAGAGCCTCTTGCATAGAAAGAGAAACAAAGCACAGCTCACAGTGATTTGTATCAACCCAAGAATATCAGCCCTTCCTCCCCACCCCCGGGAGTGATAAGTAAGGATCTCATGACAAGAAACGTATCAACACATTCCAGCTGGCAGATCCTCGCGAGCTCTCGATAACACCAGCCCTTGCTGCCAGATGGAGAATCTTTTACATCATCAGCAAACTGCACGAGGATTTGAGCACAGGGGAGACCAAAGCCCCCAGCTCCCCCACGCACTGTTTTCCCGGAGGCTGGATAGGAGCACACGGCTCTGCTGAGCAGACTGCCCCGAGGAGCACAGATGGCTCAAGCAACTGTCAGCACTTACCGTGGGGCTGCAGCACACTGCTGCTCACAGGAGGTGGGCTGCTGTTTGGTTGTCTGAAGAGGTGGTTATTAGGGTGATTTGGGGGCGGGCTGGATGGCTGAATCCGTAACCTACGCAGGGAAACAAGCACCTTTTCATCACACATGCACCTCATTAAGACACTTTTTTGATTGTGAGAGCTGACGCCAAACGCCGTATTTTTATGGTAAGATGAACACCATGAAGCCCATGTTTGGGATCCCAAGCTCTTTGCAGCTTGCCTTCTATTTTGAGAGCCGTGCCTAAAACATGTAGGTAACAAGCATAACCTGGTGGCTAGAACAAAAACCCTGGGATGAGAACATCACAAGCTTTCTTCCTGACTCACTGTGGCCTGCGAGAAAACCTTCCTTCCTTCCTTCCTTCCCAGAATTCAGCCTGCCTCATTTACAAGTCAGGGGTGATTAAAACAAGGACTGTTACCTAACACAAAGTCTGAAAAGATGTGAGAAGTCCAGGAACACCTCTGAGCAGAAATCACAAGAGAAATTGGCTTAATTAAGGTAATGCATTTTCAAGCTGGTCAAAAGGCAAATTGTCTGTCATCTGTTCAAAGCAGATTTGTGCCTTTGAATCACATTTCTCTAATTCCAGAATTCTTTCAGAGAGGATTCAACAAAAAGCACCATGCATGTTCACCTGTGAACTGGCTCAGCCATTCTTACTTTACACACTTCCAGCCTGGCCCTGGATTCTAAGTGTGTTAGCTCATCCTTGGGTCAGGCAGAGTAAATCCCATCCCCCAGAGCTTTACTAAAACCATTTCTTTACCTCTGAAGCTGGTGAGTGAGCAGAGCTGGCTGGTTTTCACATTGAGCTTGCAAGGGTGGAGATGGCTGAGGTGGCCGGATACAGTCCTGAACCAGGCATCAGAAAACAAAAAGTGTTTATGGTCAATACTGTGTCAAGTAATACATTTAAGACATGGTGATTAGCGAAGGCGACATATCCACATTCTCCAAACACTTAGTCCCTGACTGCAGCTCTCACTAATCACAGCAGCAAACATCACTGTTGAAGTCCTTCAGGCTCACTCCTCATTAAGTAAGCTGAGCAATCTACACCTCCTCAATCCCAGGTGGACCTGTAATTTTATCTGCAGACATTCAGAAAACACAGCGAAGACATCAGAAAGTCTACCTCAGGCTCTAATACCTGGATCTGCTGATGAAGAATCTGATGGTGCTGCTCTTGCTGGTACAGCATGTGTTGCTGCTGTGTCTTCTCCAGTGTCCTCTCGTCCATGTGCCCACCATACATCTTCTGAAGCTGTTCACATTCCTGTAACGAGTCCAACACACCCTAAAAGTGACCGTTTGGTTCACACTTATGGGGCAAAAAGGCACTCTACTATCTGAAAAATCCAGTAAAGAAAGCCTAATCCATTTAATTTGATGGAATTGGGTGTGCAACAATATGACTAGCTCAAACCTTAGATAACAGAGGAGGAACTGTGCACAAGCTCAAGCTGGCAGCATTGCATTCCCTTAAAAAAATGCAAGCACAAAGCTGTAATAATGATAACTTCAAGTTGAAAAGAGCATCTCATATTTCCACTCTATTGCAAGGTGAAAGTCCTGTCCTGATGCCAAATCCAGCTCAAGCCATGACAAGACATGCACTGGTTGCACAGGAGATAGCATGCAATATTACTCCTAGTTCTAGCAGTATCAACTGCCCTTTTCTCAGGTATTCTGGAACAGCACCAAATCTTTGCTGCCCCAGGAAGTGTGGGAGAGCAGCAGACGTGTTTGGCAGTGCTGATGGGACTATAGAGGCCAGCAGAACAGCCCACATGTGGGCACAGCACCTGCATTTTTTCCCTAGGAAGAGAGGAGTGGAAGCCCCGAAAGCTCCCAGATTGCAGTTGAGCAGCACATACATTTAGAGGGCATTCTGCAGGGTTTGCTGCCTTAAGTCCTCCACCCCTCTCACCTGCTGAAGCTGTTTGATGCTACTGTTATTGCCCATCTTCTCCAGGTGGGCTTTGAAAGCCTGGATGCTGGCAGCACCGTCAGAGAAACGCCGAACCGGGGAGAAGCGTTCGGTGGGGAGGTGCAGAGTATTGGAATCCTTGTAAATAGAACTGAACACATGGGGAAGTGGGTTAGTGATGCCAGATAAAAAACAAGCTGCGGTACAGAGACACTTAATTTAAACCAGCCATGCCAAGTTCTACCTGCCCACTCACTCAGAATAAATCATGTTTTAGATCAAGAAATAAAGTGCCATCAATAACATGAAGAGGAAGCAAGATTACTGAGTATCCTCAGTAGCTGGGCAGATAAATGTGATTCAAGGTTGAGCATGATTCAGCCACAAATCAGATCAGAGACGGGCAGCAACTCATCCACCCAAAGGCAACTTTGAAGAGCAGACACAGCTAGAATCAAGGCAACTGTGCCCAAAGAATTACACGCATTTCCATTTGCAGTGAGATTTCTTCTTCACCAGGGGGAGCCAGAATAGGACTTTTTTGGGGAGCTGGATTCTGCCAAAGCTGGGGCTCCCCGTTGTCAGAGTTAAGCACTGAGCTCCTGCCTGCATTTGGATGAAATCTCAGCACCTGTGACATCCTGGCACTAAATTCAACAGTACCCCAGCTACTTTCATGTTGATATGAACCTCAGCTGCATTACTGCAGACTAGTCAAAACCTTAGCTATTGCTCATACTGCTCTTTGTGCTACTGTGCATATTGATTGATAGAAGTCTGTTCTAAGAAGAATGATTTCTCCTGGAGAGGCTCCCCCTTATCAGAACATGACTGTACTGGAATGCTACCAGCACACTGGGGTCAGGTCTTGTCCCTTAGCAGGACATAAATCAGTTTCTATAGATTTCACATGACTTCCTTCCATGGACAGAGCTATGTCACTCCCTTTTGATACCATCCCATCCATTATCCTGATCCATTTGACCTTCTATTGTACCAATGCAAAGTAGAAACTACAGGTAAAAATTACACTGAGGTTCCCAAACACACATAGCCAGGGCAGAACAGTGCTGGCTGCTTTCTGCTTTCTTCAATCTGCTTTCAGATACTAAGTTATCATGACCAAAACGGGTGCTCTATATAAAGAAGATGGCTTAAAATATGTGAAGTGCTAAAATAAAACCCACCAGCTGTTCAACAGCCAAGGTCTAGTTATATGATGACACGAGTGCTAATGGTTTCTGTGCTGTGTGTGTCTCAGACATGACTGTGGGGAGTCTGTTTAGGCCATAGTCAGACAAAGTTTCCATGATTCCTTTGGTAAAATGTGAGGCAGGCTCACAGCCCACTACAACACCAAGGGTGGAATGAACAGAACGAACAAAACAGTCTCAGGACCATGAGGCAGAGGTGATATCAACATACTGACATGTGATTCTGTGATGTTTTAACAATTTCTTAAAAAAAAATAAGTCAGTTCCTGCAGTGCATGAGTGGCGCAGCTTACCTTCACAATTTGAAGCAATCCTTAAAGTAGGACACAGCACGTTCTGGTTGTTTTGCAAGCACTTCTCTTCCTATTAAGGTTTTCTGTGACCCCAGAAATCTCTCCCCCTCCTGCTCTTCCCATCCCCCAAGCACCTCTAAGGGAGTAACTTCAGGTTGTAGAGGTGCTTATCTTGGTTGTCTAGAGTTCCAGCGTGGCACTGACACTGGCTCAGTCTGCTCAGAGTTCACCTGTCTCTGCTGATTACATCAGTGCTCAGCTCAGCAGGTATCTGGCTACAATAAAAAGCACTTTGTCAAGCTCGCCAGCATGAGCTGGCTGAAAGATTTAATGCAAATCTAGCCTGGTAGGCAACTGTTTTCTCAACAGTCGAGACCAACAGGCAGCAAACTCTGTACTTTGCAGCTGGTTTGCACTCTTGGCACTGAGAGGTTCAGAACACAGGTTTTAAGCTCTCTCTGTGGCATTAGTGTTTACAGTTTGCTTCTGTGCCAAGGACTCTGTGTCAAATTAACGCTTCTCGCAATTAGGAATGACCTACTCAAACATTTGGAGTATGTTTAGACCATCTGCAGCAGTTCCCTCTTTTCCACTGCAATTTTTCTTCCCACTTAAGCTTCCTTTCCCCATATCTGTCCCCTCAGGGGTTAAAGATGGGAAATAAAATGGCTCTCCAGGAGCTTTGCAAAGAGACTTTGCAGTCAAAACAAACAACTCTGGTGCAGAACAGTGAGGCATAGATAATTTTTGGTGCAGTCTTGCCCTTGCATCTGACTCCAAAATGTTCCAGAGAAAATCTACTACCTACTGCTAACTTGACACCTACCAATAAAACAGAGAAAGCTCTCTAAAATGAACAGATTATTCTCAACCCTTCCGTGATGGCAGCCATTCTGGCAAACCATCTCCTGCCACAAAAACAGGACCAGAGGGGACAAGCCAGCTGACTGCTGCCCCAGCACTGCCTGCAGCTGCAGGCACGGAGCCTGCGCCAGTGCAGAACTCCAGCGTGGTCAGACATGTCTGCCCTGGGGATCTGCTCCTGATGCTTTTAACTCCTCCTCACCCCTCCCTGCCAAGCAGGATGTCTTCAGTGCTCCATTCCAGGTGACATCTGAGCAGGTTTCCTGGCGCAAAGCTGCCCGAAGGGCCGGTGTCATTACTCACCGGTGCTGATCGGGTACCAGGTGTGGAGCCCAAGCCCGGGGTCGGAAGGACTGCTGTCCTAGCTGCCTCTGCAAGTCTGGAGGGATTTCAGCTGTAGGGTTGGTCATTGCCAGAGTGTGCCTTTTTGACCTATTTGCCAAGTATCTGCAACAAGCAGGAGCACATTTTATAAGAGATTGATGGGATGATACTCCAAAAACAGGGAGTGTTAGATAATCCAGAGTAGAGGTGAAGGAAGAATGCTGCTGCAGTGCTCAGAACTGACCGGGGGCTGAGTGACGCCCGGGGAGAAGCACAGCATGGACATGCTGCCCATGCCTGTCAGATCAGTAGGTCTTCAGTGCTTAGGGGACAAGGGGACAAGCGTGGTTTCAGCTGCCTGTGTGCTAATGCTGTTCTCAGAAGGAAAGAGAAGCCATTTGCTTTTCCCATCAGGAAGGCCACGTTTTGTCTCCAGGGAAATGCCGGTTTATTCCCTGGGGAACACACGGCAACCTGCTGCTTTCAGCATGGATTCACTCCACTGCAGCAGGTCTGCTTCCCCCTCACGAGGCCCCACTGAGGCACAGAGAGATCTGCCGTACTCATGGAGTCAAAAACAATCTTAGCAAGGAGGAGAAGGGGCACAGTGCAGAGGCTGCTGAGTTTCCCCCTCGCAGCTGCCCTTTGCTCTTCAGACCGGACCTGTCACACCCTGGGCTTGAGCAGAGGCCAGCACAGCACAGAGCACCCCACTGGAGATTAGGAGTGAGGAGAGCTCTGGCCACCCCATGACAGGGTAGGCAGTGCAGCACAACCCAGCCCGGTCACAGTGCGCCACCTAGGCTCTATCCTGTTTTGCAGAGCTGGGAATCACCCAGCAATGCACTGGGCAAGGACAGCTGGGGGGGTGAGGAGCACAGCTCCTGCTCTGGGGTCGCAGCCCTAGCAGTGAGCATGCCTCTTGCACCAGAGCTCAGCATCAGTGGTTTAAGCTGAGGTGCCCTCTGCATTGGAATAAGCATCTTCCATCCCTTTTTCAAACCCTCAAAGAGTGGGGGAGCATGCAGAGCAAAACTACAAAGCTCTGCCTCAGCCAGGGTGTCAGAGAGGGCTGCACGGTGCTGACGGCTGTGCCCTGCTGGACTTGCAGTGAGCAGCAGCTGCGATGCCTGGGGACCAGCTGGGGGCACAGGGCCAGAAGAGATAACAAACAGAGCAGCTACCCAGAATGCCTCGGCCTGTGACAAGCAGCAGGGCAGCACTCTGCCCACTCAAGGACAGGCAGGTGAATGGCCGCTTATGAACTCAACTATTTCTGCTCTTGGGAACCAGCAGCAATAAGGCGGCTGTGGCAAAGAGCACCTGGCCAATGACACAAGAGCTACAAAAGGGGGATTCTCACCTTTGTTTTCTAACCTCTGCAAATGCAGCTTCATCTTGTAAAGCAGAGGAAAGCAACAAGCAAAAAAAAAACAAAAACAACAACAACAAAAATGTTGCCTCCTCCAAAATCAGCCTTTGCCAGCTACTAAAGCCACTTAGGCAGAAGGCAGCAAGTTAACAGAATGAAGAGTGCTTAGCATTGTGGTAACTTGCCAAAGTCTGTGCCATTAGCTGTTTAAGAATCATTTGATGGAGACAGGGAAAGTTTCCCAAAGAGCTTTACAGTTGTGGTTTGCTAAGATCATTTTATTTCAGACCTCCAGGGAACAATCCAATCATGAGCTATAACAGTGTTTCTGGTGGAAGAAAGTTTCCCAAAGCTCAAAGGAGTTGTGGCTGCTCCCTGGAGCAGAGAAAAGTATGCATGCTGTTTTCAAGGTCAGATTAAGAAGGGCAAAAAATTGTTCACTGGTGGCTGCATGCAGTGTTGGAAACACTGTTCTAAGAAGCTAAATATTTGTTACTGCTATTTACCCTTCTCTGATGACTAGCTACGTGTTGCAACATAAAGGGGTGGAGAGCAAGTTAACACACAACCTGGATGGGCCATCTGGTGGAAGAACAGGAGAGGGCTAAGGACAACACAGCTGAGAGCAGCAAAGTGACCTGTGAGTTCAAGGAAATTGCTCTTCAGTGGGATTCAAACACCGCTGCAACTTGCATGGGAGTTTTACTGCCTTTCCAGTTGAGCTAGTTCTTAAACCACACAACTGCATACAGCTGCCAGCACAGACAGTTGGTGTTCCTGAGCCCTGCTGGGGAGGACAGTGTCCAGTTAGGGTACAGCAGCTTGAAGGGGACTGAATGCAGCCTGTAGTGTCTGTGCTCTTCACCTGCTCAACACCACGGCTTGGCCTCATTTCTTTCACCATGCTGCCTGGGCAGGTGGATGAACAGCAGTGCATGAAGCTGGAAAACACTGCGAGAGTGAGCGCAAAGATGAGGGTGGCAATGAACTAGAGTGTAAAGCTGCACAGAAAACACAGGATGCGTTCTGTGGAAGGGCTGTGCTACTTCTAAGGCAGAGCTGGAAGCAGGTTCCTTCACATGGACCAGTCCTGACATCCTTCTAAGCTCTGAGAGGCAAAAGGAGTATCAGCACACACTGCAGAACCCATCACTACACGCACCACTGTTTGAATCCTCTGAAGCACTGAAGTGACAAGAGCTGGCAAGGCTCTGGGGCATGAGCTCTGCCCCTCCCAGAGTTTCTGCCTGCAACCAATCCTCATCTGAATCATTCACCCAAGCATAGCCCCAGAAGAAACGTTGTCTTACTTGAGGAGATGGCCTGTACAAACTCGGGGAAATCCAGAAATCTTTTCAAGTTTGAGGTAAGAGACAGGAGCACTCCATAACCACACCCAAAACACAGTGCACCAGCTGGTTAGCACAGAAGAAACTACACAAAAGCTACTGAGAAATGTTAGCAAGGAAATGGTTAGTGTTTTCATGGATTGAGGAAGTACAAGCGTATTCTACCCGCTTCCCAGTATGCATCTGGAGCAGACAAAGAGAACAAAAGTTTTCAAACTAATGTCTAATAGTTCTTTTCTTATTGGAGCAGACTACTCTAAGGCCCATTGCTAAAATTAGAAGCCAAGAGGTACTTGTATTTTCAGCAAGCTCACTTTGTCTAAGGCATCAGAGTTGGATGTTTACTGCATGTCTTGATACAAAAGCTGCATTTACACCCAAGGCCACAGATGAGATCTTCCTACCTCCATCACTCAGCAGGGAGGGGTGAATCACTTAGCACTCATTTTGCAGGTTAGTGTGGATTGCATGCTGGTGCACACTAAGCAAAGGAGTTTAGCAGTTCCAGAGTTTTAGAGAACCTACTGCTTTAACAGCTTACAGAATTTCAGGGGAAATCCAGTTTTGTAAGCACCTAGTAGCATCAGAGGAGTAATTGCCTGCAGTAATCAACACCCACAAGAATAAGAGAAGTGTTAAGCCTTCATTGTAATTAACACTGCTGCCTGTGATGAGGTTGCTCGTGTCTTAATTCAGTAGTAGAACACCACAGGGTGAGCCTGCTTGAGGGTAATAAGGGTAAACATTAACAGACTGGGGGTTACCTCTGCACAGCTTCCTGATCTGGCTCCCCATCAGAGCTCTCCTCATCCACAGGAGTGACAGCTGGGACGGCCTGCAGGGAGAAGAGAAGCCATGGGCTCCAGAAGGCAGCCAACGTGGTCCCATCCGCACAGCAGACACCTGGCCTTCCCAAACTGGCTTCCACAAGGATATATGCCAGCTATAGGGCACTCAGCCAAGAACCCCTTCCCACATTCCTTCCCCCATACAGAACTGCCTGCACAAGGCTGCTGCTTCTTTCGCTACTAGCAGGAAAATTTACCCATGCAGCTACATCAAGGAAGAAAGAATATGCATTAAAAGCCAAGATTGACATTTTAGTTTTTTCTCTATTAGATCATCAATAGAAAAGAAAATCAATTGTAGTAAAAAGTTCACAAACCCTCTGCCAATTCCAAAGGGTAGTACCATCTCAGCTTCTAGGGATCCTTTTGGCAGCAAGCAGGCACAATCCCTGCTGCGCTTCCATGAATGCTACAGCCCGAGTCTACTACCCTGTCAAGTCTGCCTCCAGGAAAACATATTTTTAAGCATACCACCAATTCTGTTCTTTCCTCTGGCTACTTACTGGAGTCATAGTGACGAGTGGAGATGGACCTCGAGGACGTTTCAGCAGTTGCTGTGCATGTAACTGGATGTTAGCTCCACCATCGGATGCTCTCCGCCCCAGAGGGCCCATGCCATTCAACAGCTGCAGAGTGGGGGGCTGCAGCAGGGACTGCTCCTGGGAAGCAAACACAGTGCAGTTACCAATCGAGTACCAGATCCTTCTGGTACCTGAGTCCCAAGGCCACAAACTGGGATATAAGCATGAGAGAAGACAAGCATTCTGGGCTTCAGGAGAAATGAGGAATTATCAGTATCTCCAAGCTGAAGTGGGGCAGACAGAGACACTGTCAGTGGAAAAGCTGTGTTTAACTCTCCATTTCCCAGCATTCTGCTTTAGTTACCTGGCAGGCTGCCATCTGCACCTCCAAAACCAGGCAGCAAAATCCTCTCTCTTTCCAGCCCATTCATGAATTTCATACTGCAGTGTTCTTTCATTCTTAGTTTAAGTAACCAGCCAGAATCACACCTCAAGCAGGAGCAAGATTGTAATTCATGAAATTCAAGGAATTGACAGACAGAGAGAAAGCAAGCACAAGCACAAATGCACAACCACACACTTGCTGGTGTGGTACAGGCTGCAGGGAGCACATGCGTGGGTCAGTACCTTGTACTCCAGCTGACCCGTGGGCTGCAGGTTCTGCCTAGGCAGCACATTGTGCATGAAGTTCACATTTGGGGTCACCTGCAGGAATGGAGCCTGAGGAGTGACACGAGGGAAGCCAGGCAGGAGCTTCTGCAGATCTTCCATGACCTCCGTCCTGTGCAATCATATTTATAGACAGGTGACTTAGCAACGATGCATGGAGAACCACCCATGGGCTCAGCACATTCAGCTTCCCTTCACAAAACAAGCTTGTTATTGCACTGGAAAATGGTCACAGAGAGTAACCAGGCCACTTTTCAGTTTTCATCAGTCCTTTCTTTTCCCCCCTCTAGGTTAAATTTTTCCAGCATTTGCTCTTTGTATTAACCTTGAAAGCACTTATCACAAAGACTCCAGCTGGGACGCGATAACAGGGCAGCATAGGTGAGAAATTGGCTTGCATAATGGTCAACACGGCTACAATCAAGGAGGAAAGAAGATCCTCATCTCCAGCTCAAATTCTAACCACGCTGTGCAATGGGACTAGGATGTTTTAATACTTTCTGCATTTAAGATACTTTTGTTAAGGAGACACCTTGAAGTTCTTTCCCCATCTAGCAACAATTGAGTGTGCAGGAATAACTCCAAGCCACTCACACCAGGAGCAAAAAAAACAAAGGTTTGACACTAGCTATGATACAGATACATCCCCGCCTGTTACTACGAGATCACAGAGAGCTAAAAATGCACTGCCCCAAATTCTACCTAAGAGAGGGTTTACAAGTAGGAAAAGTGCCCTTAATCCTCCATTAAGGAGGTAGAGTCCAATACTAACCGTGGGTCAGCTACTCCAACCGTGTGCCTTCTCATTGAGAGGTAACGGACCAGAGCTTCAGGTGATGGTTCTTCCCCTTCATCGCTGTCCAAGTTCATCGTTCCATCAGTCTGGGCAGGCAAAATATGGGAAATGTTGAAACACAATGTGAGGATCAATCAAAAGGCTTCAACGCAAGTCTTGGAAAAGAACTTGCAGGGGCCACGAAAGGGAGCACCTCACCTCCACAATTTGGTTTTCAGGATTGATGAGCTGGACTTGTGGTACATTGATGTTCATGGTATTGCCTGCCTGTTCTGTCTGCTGATGAGAAGGATCAAAAATCAGTAGACAAGAAACTAGCATCTCTTACAACCCCTTTATAATCATCCTTGGACTAACACCAATGAACAGACTTAACCACTTGGGAAGAGACATTACCCTGGAGCTACTGAAAGCATTCTTAATTCTTAAGGGATTGCCTCATTTTCCCTCCCTCTCCTCAATTCTGTTCAGGCAGGATTAGCATCACTCCTCCTTCTCTTAAAACCTGGCCTCTCCTAAAGCAAATACTCATTTCTTTGGTAGTATCTCAAGCTGAGCATCATGCAGTGGTCACGGTCTATAAACTTTATTTCCCATCCTGTAAACCTCACGTTGCTTTTTCTGTCACAAGGTTAACTAAGACTAGATTTTGTCTGAAGAATATTTGGTAAATCCACAGTCAACAAACTCACAATTACAGAACCCAAAATACACACAAGATTCTCAGACACAGAAGATCTTTGTGCTCTTGGCAAAATGAGAACACTCACAATTAACTCTAAGCTTAATAGGTAAGGGACTCTCTGGCCTCCTAAGGCTGAAGGAGCATTATACAAGCAGGATTTACCTGGATGTTAGCAGAGGTGGGGAAGGTCACTGTCCGTGGTATACTTGGAGATGGGGCAATGCGCAGATTCTTGTGCCTTTTCAGACGGTCACAGAGCAAGCTGTAGATTGCACTGTAGTGATCATAAGCATCTGCTCTTAATGACTAGAAGAAGAAAAGGAAGAAGTGGTCAATTCTTTTCATCAAGCAGCAAAATGAGCTCCACACTGTGCTCAGTTACCAGATACGATAAGCAACAAACGGATATTTGTTATCCAACTGCAAGAGGCAGCACACAAAGGTCAGCTGCAGAGCGTTACCTGAATTGTGCGTTCCTTGTCCAGCCCCATTTCTGCCATTGCTAACAACACATCCTCATTCAGTGGCTCCATCTGCCTCTCTGTCTTCAGGTGCTGACACTCTGCTATCAGCTGTAACGGCAAAGATACAGACTTCAGTGCTTACATTCCCAAAGGCACAGAGATGAGTCACAGCGCTCTGAAGAACTGATTCACAAGGCTCAGACTGCAAGCTGGCATGAGCTTTGAAGGCTGATGGTACATCAGTTCAAAGGGGAAAAAATATCAAGTAATCAGAGTCAAAGGATGATATGGAAAGCAAGACAAGGGGGACATAGATAAAATGGGAAGGCAGTACACCAGAGCTTGGAACAGGAGTTCCCAAGCAGCTGAAATGAACACCGTGGCAGTCCTGCATGCATTGAACAAGTCCCACTCACACATGGCTCACTTCAGCTTCTCACCCTATCAAACTCTGCATCAGCTTCCCCAAGCTTCATCCACTTGTGTTTGCAGATCTGGTCCATTGAGAGCCGCTTACTCGGGTCCAAGACCAGCATGTGGCGGATCAGATGTTCACATTCTGCAAGGGAACAGACTGCTGAGTAACCACAGTGAGGAACAAGACTTCTGCAGCACGCAGCCTTGTGCCGCAAGATCAATAGTGAGCCTTTCCCTCAAAGCAACTTCTCTGTAGGAAGTCATATGCAGCAAAAATACCGCTTCCCCTTCTGGACCTTGCACCCATTCCATGTACCATTTAGCTGCAGGAATTTGATGCTATACGTAGGCAGCTGAGGGGACAAGAGAACACAGCCTCTCCCAGATAGAATGAAAGTGTGATATTCAAAGTTAAAGGGATTGTATTTGTCAATGAATACCCACAGCTTTCTAGCTAAGTACTGGTCTAAATCAGTCAGTACAGGAATAAAGGCTTCTCTCAAGACACCTCAGTAGCTGCTGCCACCCCAGAGCAGGAGCATCTCTCCATTTTGAAGCTATAAAGAGCAATGGCAGCATCAGCTCAGTGCCAAGCTCCCAGTGCCACTGCAGCCCCTATAGATGAGATCATCCTAACTCAGAGCCTGTTTTTACTGGCTGTACAGTTTTCCAAATCTGATCTGAAACTACTTTCGGAGCAAATTTTTACTGCCAATACAGACATAAGTCAGCATGCTTCCTTTACACTTACCTCATTCAGGATTTCCCCATGCTAGAGAGGAAGCCAGCCAGGCCACAGTACGCTTGTGCTGTCTGCCAGCACCCCTAGGTGGCATGCTGTCACCCTGTCCCTGCTTGTCTCGCCCTGCACCATCCAAGGGATGCAACCAACTTGTGGGGCTGAAGGGCAAAACACAGCTGCCATGGCTTGGCCTCCTGCAGGAACCTCTCCCAGGCAGCTGCCACAGTGAAATGTACCTTTTTTGTCCTCCGTCAAATTTTCCACTCAAAGGTATCATAAAATACGAGCTGTTCTTAAGTGAAGTTGGCTTTATTCGACAATTAATCACATTTTTCAGAAACAAGATTTATTACTCAAGCATTCAGAAACACACTTGCAAAAATAGGACATGGACATTCACTTGTGGTGGGGCTACTGCAGGAAATTAATGTGCCATAATGCTGTAAAAAGCTTCTTGTCTAAAGCAGATATAGTGCAAGCTTCTATATTCCTACATCACTACTCCATTTTTAGCTTTCACACTTCCCAGAACTTACTAAGAATGTATCTCTGCTAATGTTTTGCTACAGCTTGCAGCTACACACACATGCAAGTCAAGATTTTTAAATAAGAACACTTGAGTTTCTAAATTCTAGATTCAAAATTCACTTTTGCTTCCATTACAGCATGCTGTCCATCCGGTATGCTTCCTGGCATACGACTTACCTGACACATAAATCAGTCGGTATATTAAAACCTAAGTGTTTCCAAGAATCTGTAAGCAGAGATGTGACTCAAAGCTCTGCAGGCACACAGCCTTACCTGTGGACATGAAGAATGGAATGCGAAACTTCCCGCTGAGCACCCTGGCACGCAGATTCTGTAGCGTGCTCCCATCAAAGGGCAGAGCACCACAGACCAACACGTACAGCACCACGCCGAGACTCTGCATCACACAAAGGGCAGTCAGCAACAAGCCGTGGTTCATAGCAATAAGCATTCTTTAAATAAAGAGTTAAATAACAAAGAAAGAGCAAATCATTGGAAAGGACCTCGTGACATCTCAGTCTTGGGCCAGCCTAGGTTCTCCTTTAAACTTCTGGCCTAACTTAAACATCCTTCTGAGCCTTGAAGTACATGGCTACACAAGCCAAGAGCCCAAGTATTTCTTTGGACACCCTTCTTTTTTTCCTTTTCTTGTTCTAAGATCTCAAGAAGCAAAGCTAAAAATGAAATCCAAGTCAAAAAGGTTCATCACATACCCAAATGTCAACCTTGGGTCCATCATATTCCTTCCCCTCGAAGAGCTCTGGGGCAGCATAGGGAGGACTTCCACACCACGTTTTTAGCAGCTGGCCAGGTGTGAAGATGTTACTGAAACCAAAATCTGAAAGAATAGAGAGAACGGCTTAGTGGAACGTGATCCAGTACAACTGTTGTAAACAAATGGTATTGACATTATTTGCTGTGCCTAGTGAAGTCACATGTAAGTCACATACAGGTCATATAAGTTATTCAGGCTGAGGGAGCTGGGCTTGTTCAGCCTGGAGAAAAGCAGGCTGCAGGGTGACCTGACTGCAACCTTCCAGTACCTAAAGGGAGCCTACAAACAGGAGGGGAATCAACTCTTTGGAAGGATAGATAATAGCAGGACAAGGGGAAATGGTTTTAAGTTGAAGGAGGGAAGATTTAGATTGGATGTCAAGGGGAAGTTCTTTACTATGAGAGTGGTGAGGTGCTGGAACAGCTGCCCAGAGAGGCTGTGGATGCCCCGTCCATCCCTGGAAGTGTTCAAGACCAGGTTGGATGGGGCCCTGGGCAGCCTGGTTTGGTATTAAATGTGGAGGTTGGTGGCCCTGCATGCAGCAGGGGGTTGGAGCTTCGTGATCCTTGAGGTTCCTTCCAACTCAAGCCATTCTATGATTCTATGACGTACCCACTTCACATAGGGTAAACTGACCCTATTTACACAACCTGCCCCAAAACACCCTGAGTTGGGCCTGTTTCACACACCACAACTATACTGCTTTTGCTTATGAGAACACAAAGATGTGAAAGGTTTGGTCTTCGCTTTTCAAACATGATTTCCACATTGGAGTTGAGAAATTAGTGATCAGATGAGCTAGGGATGCTGCAAGCCAGGTGAATCCTTTGGAAGGAGGCCTACAGGTTATATTCAAGAGACCACGCATACATCTAGGCATTAATTTCCAACCCTCAGCTTCTCTGATGACAAGTTTCACAACCCCATTAGGACCAGGGCAGTTGCACACAAAGGGAAAAAGAACAGTAAATCAAGTTATTTTCCAGAAAGCACTACATGGAACTGGAAACTTCAGTTCTGGTGGGCAACTCTATGAACCAACTCAAGTCATTCACCCACAGCAAATAATAAATCCTGAAACAGAAATCAAAAGAAAGGTCTTAATCTTACAAGCAGTCAGCTGTAAGCTTATGTGGGCAATGAGGGCATTTTCTGCTAATTAACCTGCCACCCCTGGCACACAGCTGAGACTTGTGCTGGAAGAGCAAAGAAACAACTGCCTGCACTCAAGAGAGGTGTGCTTTTTCCTTACAAAAATAAGGAATCTTTTCTTTTCTTTTGGTCTCGGATGAATAAAAGCAAATCCACAGTCAGAAAGGGATTTCCATGTCCCACGGACAGGGCCCTAAAGCAATTTCTATCAGAAGGAGCTATACTGCAGCTATTTGCAGACTGCTTTGCCTGTTTTTTTTCTGCTAGAAGTGTGCCAGCAGGAGGGTGAGTGACACTAATGCATGTGGATGGGGACCCACAGCAACAAGGACACGTTTCATAGCATTTCCCTGAGCAGCAGATCCTCATGGCAGGAGAAATCCTGGAACAAAACAAGGCAAGCTGGAAATACTCTGCAATTCAGACCAATCAAACCAAAACCCACCACAGCCAAAATAGATGGTACAGGTGCAGGAAGTAACAAAACTTTCATGAAGAGCTTCATGCTGTTTCTGATTTCATTGCTGTTCCTAACTGCAGCATAGCTGGAATAACGTGGAGCTGACATGGCTCCCTTGCCACCAGAACAAAACAACCACCCTTTTTCCCCACATTTCTTGAAATCAATATATACTCATCTTGAACATTCATCTTCATTTAGTCTGCTTATTTCTCCTTACTGCCTTCTGCCCATGCTTCAGAAGATACGAACTCATCATGCGTTCTTCAGCCATCAGTGGAGGTTTGCCCTCCTAAACCATAGAGAACTGTGAGTTTGCCCAACAACATTTGATGTTACCCTGCTGAAAGGAATTCAGGTATCACCTTTTAGACAAAGAAACCTTCCCACCAGCACCTAGAGCTTCACAGAGCACAGCAAACCCTCCGTGCAGGGTGCTCAGCACTCCCAGCTGGTAGGCAACAAATGGCTGCTTCGTGCTCCTGCCTGCAGCCTCCATTTCCTTGCATGATTTTCCATGACCTAATTCCAGGTGACTACTTTCTTCTCCCTCAGAGAACTTCAGCAGAAACAAGCACAGCACCTAAGCACAGCTGGGTCCAGCTGGCTGCAGCAGGGCACAGTTCACACGACTGCCAACTCCAAGCCACCAGGTTACAGCCAGCTTGTCCTCCCATCCTCACAGGGGGCAAAACTCTCACAAAGAGGCTACTTGTGCTTGCAGAGACCCCCATAGAGCAGTGTGTTCCTGCTGAACCATCTGGAGGACAGGCAGTGTGGTGCAGACCTCTGCTCAGAACAGAGCACAGTGACTGCAAAGCCACTGCAGTATCAAAACCAGGAGGTTTTGACTGGAGGAAACGGGATAATCTTAATTTCCAAAACACAAGAAAAGATGACTTTAGGCGGATGAATTTGAGGGACAAAGCAGACAGCTGCACAATTGTCTTTTCCACCTCAGTAAGCTTTTGATTTACTGTCTCACTTTTACAGTGGGATTTTTAACAAGTGTCTGAGCTACGATCGCCAGAACAAGCAATAAAATCTGCAGCACTAAATTAATTTCCATCACCTAGTGGCAAAGCATTTATAGTCAAGTTTATCTGTAAACTCGTGCAAGAACACACTGGGGTTTTGGTACTTCCCAATTCAGTGATATTTTGAACAATTTTGAAATTGTTCTGGTTTACTTTTATTCATCTTTTTCTGCAGTGAGTGGACTTCACTCCTCTTTTGTGCTGGGTTGAAATTAGCCCCCAGATTCACTCTTTTTCCATTGAAGGTGGGGAAGGATGGTCGAGGAGCAGTTCTGCAGAGTGCCTCCTTTGGGAAGCAGTCCGAGGCAGGGATGCTGAAAGGTGCTGAAGCAGCAGCTCACGGAAGCATCTGTTCTGGGATGGCAGAAAGAAAAGGTTCTGGTTGCAGGGAGCTCAGCTCACCCCTATGGGAGCTGTGGTCATGTCTGCTCCATGTGGAGCTTGGGGCTGGAAGCGTTCCTTTGGGAGCCACCAGTGTTCAATGAATTGCAGCCAAGTGAGGTGGAAATGGCACACCTAAAGCTCCCCTACCCCACCAAGGTAGGAGGGAGGATTTGGAAACATCAAAGCAGCAGCAGCAAAAAAAAAAAAAAAAAAAAAAAAAAAAAAGAAGAAGCAACAAAAAAGAGCAAAAAACAAAATCTCTCAAACCCCAAAGGAAACAAAGAGATTGAAATAAATGCTCTTACAAACAATGACAAGTCACCCCAGTCTAGAGACACAGCAAATCCAAACACTGTGGAGCGGGGGAGCAGCCAGGTCCCTTTCCACAAACAGAGCAAAGGGAAAAGGGTGTTTTTGGGGGACAAACTCAAACCTCCTGATGATGCAATACAGGGAAAATACTTAAAAGCCATCTCTGTACTATAACACAGAGGGTCCAGTCCCTCCTGTCACCCCAGAGCAGAGCCCAGGGAGCTGCTGCTGGGCTGCGCACGGGGACTTTTATCCTCTGAAGGCGAAGCAGCGAGCAGGCTCTTGCAAACGAATGCAAAGCAATGCATAGATCAGATTCCTGTCTGAAATCATATCCTAGGGAGGCCTGGGTATTTAGCAATAATCTCAACTCCTGGCTGAACTCTCTGACTGGGAGCACAAGGGAGCACAGTGCCAGCAGCTACTGACTCAGACTGAGAAGGTACACAGGAGCAAAGGCATCCATGGGAAAATGAGCACTGGGGTCACAGCGTTCGTATTGTACTGTTTATGGAAAAGCTGTACAGTTACAATCAATCAAAAAAAAAAAAAAAAACCAGCCATGCTTCTAGTTACCACCAAGTAGAAACAGCAGCATCAGCCTGCTTCTTTATTACAAGCGTCAGTTCCTTAACTAACACTGAGTAAAAGTCATGCAAAGCTTCCAATGCAGGAAAAAAGACCAATAGTGTTGTGCTAGGTAATCTGCATGGCAACCTGAAGGGTCTGAAAAATGCGAGCAGTTTGCCAAACAGAGCACCCATCAGGCACACTGGTTCAGCTGGTTGAAGCTACAGATACATTAAGTGTGTTACTGAAGAGGCCAGAGTTTGACAGCATTAACAGGCTTGGCAGTAAAAGCTTCGCTGATCCTCCACCCTGCAAAACAAGGTTCTGTACATGTCTGCAGTATTTATTCTGGAAGGTCGACAGTGAAAGCAATCAGTTGCTATCGCTTCTTTTTTCTTTTTTTTTTGCTCTTGAAACAATGGAAGCACTGGTGTCAAGCTGCAATTGATGAGTTATAGGGACAAAACTTAATACTCGGAAAATCCTATACCATAAATCAGCTTTTCCAAGCTACTATTCAAATCTGCTCCATCTTCCTGCCAAGAAAAACACTGCCACTACCAGGGTGGGAAATACCTTCTGGAGACCATTCTGGGAGCAGAGATTTGGAAAGAAAATAGTTTCCACCTTCCCCAGATAAAAAGCCTCCATGATTCTCAGGCATTCACTGAAGTTGTCGGTGTGCTCACGTGGCCGTTCCTTTACGAAATGCAGCTGCACTCCAGTTTCTTTAAGGATTAGTTTTTTACCTCTCCGGTTTGCAGGGAACCCTTCCACCCATACACACAGATGAGATTTTACCCCTTGGACACACGATGGCCTCAGATCATGAGTGCATCTGTTTGCATACAGCAGACACTGTGCTGCTTACATACACTTCCTGAGCAGCCTTTCTGCCAGACTCAGAACTTCTGTAATAAGTTACAGTCTTAGGCACTTTTGTTTTTTTAATTCATGTTACAAACCCTTGTAAAAGCTGACAAGCTCTCAGAGGAAGCCTATTAAGACAGGGCGGGGGTAACAAAGTGCTTTCCAAAAACACTCTGATATGTGTTAGTCTCTAGTAGAATTAAGCATAAGTATTGGCTGTTCCAGAGCGAAAGCCCATGAAATGAGATGACCAGGGCAGTACTAAATCCTCTTGTTTCAAGCAGTTACTACATAATCCCACGAAGCTAAATGAAGTCAGGTCTAGTTAGTACATCACAGAGCTTAACAGCCAAGGCGCATTCTCATGTACAAGAACAGACAAGCAGGCCAGCCCACAACCTACCCGAGATGTAGCTCTCTGAAAGGACAGCTGTTAGCAAAAGAATCACAGGATGTTTTGGGTTGGAAGGGGCCTTTAAGATCATCCAGTTCCAGTCCCCTGCTATAGGCAGGGACACCTCCCTCCAGACCAGGCTGCTCACAGCCCCATCCAGCCTGGCCTAGAATGCCTCCATGGAGGGGAGATTCATAACCTCGCTGGGCAACCTGTTCCAGTGCCTCCCTCCCCACCCTCATAGTAAAGAATTTCTTCCTAATACCTGGCCTAAATCAAAGACAATCTAAAAAAGAAGCCTACAAAACACCAGCAAAACACTGGGGACAGACCGAAGGGGTCTGGTTTTAAGCTTCAGTTTCTCCTTCTGAAATGAACAAAATACCCAAGTCACCAGGGCTATTTTCTTACCCTGGCAAGACAGTGAAATTATTCCAAGATTGCTTTTTCCCCTTAGCTTCTGTACCACTAATTTTGTTATACTTACTTTTCCATTCTTTCTCTCTCACCTGGCCTGACCTGCTTTGAAGAAATCCTAACCTGGCAACAGCTCTCAAAACAAGGTCAGTTTCTTTATTTGTCTTGGCCATTACCCGGTGTATTGAAACACTGCAGTATCTACAGGTGCATATTTGCCTACGAAGCCAAACCTGCTTTAAAAAAAAAAAATTATTTTGCAGTTCTTGAAGGGAGATATAAATCTGCTGGCTATAACCTGCCAGTTCCAGCTCTGGGCAGCAGGCCACAGAGAAATCCAAAGCTTCCTTTAGCTGCACTGCATTTCCTTCTTTCTGAATACCTGGAAGCAGCCAATGCCTACATTTATTAACTTCTGAAAGCAGCTGCTTTCCTCCCACACCGTAGTCTTAGCTCACCTGCTATTTTGATGTTAAGGTTAGCATCCAGAAGAAGATTTTCTGCTTTGAGATCTCTGTGAACTATGTTACGGCAGTGACAGAAGTTGACAGCAGCCACGATTTGCTTGAACTTTCTCCGAGCTTCCTTCTCCGCCATGCGCCCGTGGGCCACCAAGTGATCTGTGATGGACAAAGCAGAGAACAGAGCACTTACTGACACAGGGAGCTGGGAAACCACGAGTTTGCTTTGCGAGAAGCCTAAGGTGTTAAAATCTGCTTCTACACCAAAATAAAAATACAACTTTTTCACCCTTTTCCTTTGCTTTCTCTGCAGTTCAGGCCTGCCCCCACTCCAGCACTTTGAACATCTGCCTGAGGTCCTGCTGCTGGGAGACACAGCACTCCACAAGGTAGCCTTGGCCTCAGCCTCAATGCTGATACACACAAGCACCCACTGCAAGTGCTACAGGTCAGGACCAAAGTTGTTTCAGGAGCATCTTCTGGGATGCAATGAAGAAAATTGTCCCCCGTGCTTCAAAATATGCACAGAAATTCCCAATCTCCGGATATCTGGTGTAAAAATATGTTTGGAATATTGAACACACTTTATTATGAAAATGGAGCTTCTACTAAGTAAACCTGAATACTCTCAAGAATTTCACTGAAAAATCTACCACCCGAAGGCAGTGTCTGTGGCCAGACAGGCTTCCTTTGGAAGCTATTATTGCAAACATGGACAGAAGAAGGCTCCAGTTGACCTAAGAGATCACAAAGGCAGGTATCCAACAGCAACAAGCCTTAAATCAATCCGCTTACAGCTGGAAAGCACCAGGCTTACAGAAGCCACTAATCATTCTGCCCTGTAAGTCAGGGCAAACAGGGCGGAGATGGGCGGTAAAACATGGCAGAGAAAGGAGAGACAAAAGCATGCTCCTGAGCATCACAGAACAGGAACACAGCTCTGCCAGGAAAAGGAATTGGAAATTAAGGAGTTGAAGGCAGCTCCACAAGGAGCCTTCCCTTGGTTCAGTCTGTGCCCACACGCCACGTGGCATGCAGGAAGGTAACCTGGATGGGCAGGCGGCTCAGAAAGGAATCACTGGGGCACAGATACTTCTTGGACCACTCGTGCTCTGTCTCTCTCAAAAGAAGCAAAAAAAAAGGCAAGCAGAAGATTCACACAATGTCCCAAAACCAGGCCACAGCCAGCAGCGCTCTGTAATGATGCTCCAAGAGCAAAGTGAGGGCAGAACAAAAGGAATGAATGCCCAGCGCTCTCTCCTCACCCACTTCAAGAGGCCCCTCTGCTTAGGCTGACCCCAACACCTCTCAGCCAAAACCAGGCTGAAGGGATTTCATTTCACCCCATAAACTCTGCTCAAACTGGAGGGCTCGATAGGGATATTTGTTCTTGAAAATCATACAAATAAATCACTTCTGAAGGTTTCTCATCAGGTGGTTGTATTCTTCCCAGCCAGCCATTAATTAAAATACCTGTGACATAATTGACTTGCAGTAAACACTAATTACTGAGACACATTAAAGCAGTTCTGCCTGCTTCTGACTGAAGAGCAGCCTACTTCTCTGTGCTTGTACTGCTGTTGTGCAACAGAGTGAAGCTGGCTTTCCAAAACTTGTCAGTTTCATTTTACTCATTGGATAACCTTATTCCATGAGCAAATCCGAACCAGGGTTGAGGAAAGGAGTCCACTACCAATGCCAGTGTGGCCCTTAACACCCTTCTAGATAGCATCATTTACTCTCATGCAGTCCCACTGTATTTCACCAAGTCCTCTGCATGGTCACACACTGTGTGCCCAGAAGAGCAATGACAGTGACAAGCACAGTTAAGAAAGGGACTGCTCCAACTCAGGCATTACTGCTGATTAATAGATAGCTCAGCCCTAAACAAGTCAAGGTCATTCACATTTGTAATCCTCTCGAGTCTGGGAACACAGCCTGCTGATGCAGTAAATGCTCTTAAAACCAAGTGCAAAGTTCCAGTCTCTCAACATTTCTGAAATCACTCAGACATTCTCCTACAGGCAAGAAATCAAACCCAGCTACTGCAGCAGGAGAGCTTCTACAAGGCTCTCTGGTGCATATTTTTGCCCAGCACAGGCTCAGACAAACCGAAAACAATCATGATGTATGGAAGTACACAGCTGGAGTTGCACTTCACATCCAGGAGAGGAAAACTGTTCCTATTTCAGCACGGAATCAGCAGAGCCAATGGGTTCCTGCACAGTGAGCTCAGAGGGTCTGGGCAGATCCTGGTTCTGGGCGCTGCTCTGGGCTCAGCCCTGCTGCCATCAGGTGCTACACGCTCCCTGCCAGCTGCTCTGTCCACTTGGTCTGAAAACTGCTTCCCCATTATCAGTGCTGCTTAGGCTGCAAAAAAAGTCCTTTTAGGTTAGACATGAAATTTCACATTTAACGAAGAAACCCGCAGCATGGGCCTGTCCCCAAGCTCCGCACGTAGGCGCAGCATTCGAAGCACGCTGACATTTCTGCACAAGCTCCAGAGGAAGGAGAGGAACAATGAAGCTACAGAATACTCTGCATACCACCAAGGGCAACTGTATGCCAAAATTAACCATTGCAAGCTTAGTCTGCACAAACCCCTCCTGCAAAGAGGGTGCAGTGGTGGCCACGGGCTCAGCCGGAGTGCTGACCTCAGGCACACCAGAGCCAGGAGCTGCTGGCTCCTATGCACCAAATGCTTCTGTCACTGTGTCCTCCTGGAGCTGAAAAGGTGCATGGAGTTGATCCTCTGAGTGTTTTCCATAGAGGAAGCAACACTTGATTTGATTTCACAGCTTTAAAAAACAAAGCAGTTTTTCCTCCAGACTTCTACGAAGTACCCGATGCTAGTCTCTGCATTAGGAAAAAAAAAAACAAAAAACAGTGAAAGCCTATGGTAAAGAAAACAAAGCTTGAGAGAACCTACTTGGTGACCTGGTGGTCTCAGCAGCAGCCTGGCTGAGCAGCAAGGCCAGTGCTCACCTGTAGGCAGTGCATCCCCAGCACCCGCTGCTCCCCAGGGCAGTGCCCACTCCCACCAACCTCAGCCCTGTGCTGGGCAGTGGAGACCAGGGATGATTTACAGTGTTCATGCTAAGCAGCAAAGATCAGACAGACTATTTGACCTCAGAAAAAGAAAAAAAAAAAAAGATACTTGAGAGACCAGGACAAAGAGCATCTTATGTTTAAATGGTGACATTCATTTGTTCATAACGTCAAACTGTCAACCCAGCAGCACACAAATCACACATTGACAGAAATGACAGTTTAGATGTTGCTGCTTAAGTCCACAGTGAAAGCAGGAGCAAGTCTTCTCCCCAGTCCCCACACAGTGAGGTGCAAACAAAGTGAATTATCAGAATGCTTCCAGTAACAGATGAATCAAGGACACTTACGGCGCGCTGTGGCTGCTGGAGGAGTTATCAGCCCTGCCACAGCCCTTTTACTGGAAATTCAGATAAAGGAGCTGTAAAGCTCTCAGGTGCTAGCTGGGGAGAGCCTGCAGAGCTCAGAATGACAAGGGACAAGAGAGGCAAGCATCCAGCACTGACTGCTGTGCTCACACAGCAGCCACTGGGACAAAACTGCCACTTGTTCAGCTGAAAGTTCCACCTTGTGTTATTGCCTGTGGAATATTTGCAGCTGTAAGGCCCAGTTTAAGCCTTCAGTGGTCTTGTAAAGCATCAGAGGGAAACAACTTAGATTTGCTTCAAATGAACCTGAGGCTCTCAGTGCTGTAATGATGTAACTCAGATTATATGAGGCACTCAGCTTTACGTTGAGCGTTCAACGCACAGAAAATCAAGGCCATTTCAGAGACATTAGGAGAGAAGAATGATATGAAGGACAAAGAACACACGTGTTCAATACAAGGGACATATCCCATGCCCAGGAGGTGGCAGATAATCCAATGAAAACAGGCATTTTTCTCCCACGTACCCTTGACACTGGAGCACACGCTGCCATACTCTGTGAGGATGTGAGCTGATGCTGTTCTGGTTTGTTGGCCATGCAGCAAGAGCTGAGCTCGAGGGCTCTTCAGGCTGCTCAGTGTCTCACCAGGCCCACCTACCCACTGACCTTGGCAGCCTACACTGCAGGGAAATAATGCTCCCTGGGCTACGCAAGGATGTGATTCTTCAGTGCTAGAGATGCTGAAGACTGCAAGGCAACATTTCCAAAATGGGCTGCTGCTTCCTCCCAGTAAATTGCTTCCTCTCTTACAGCAAAATCTTAATGGCTACTCAGGAAACTCTGATTACAGAAACCTGAGACTTTGGTTTTCCTTTCTCTGCTCTAATGCTTTAGGGTGCTGGGCCTCATGCAGGACCTGGAAATGCAAAAAGCCCAGCACAGCCTCACAGCCATGGGTTGGAAAAACACTACAGCTACTGCGTCACTGGCAGCACTTGGGCTGTCTGCTCCCAGCTCTGAATGAGGATAAAATGCTGGGCAGTAAAATGGGAATTAGCCATTCTAATGAGCTGAATTTACTACAGCATAAAATGTTTCAGAAAGCAATTAGATTTTTCACTTCAACTCATGCAGAAGGCTATTTCTGTAACCAGGAGAATTCATTCCAAGTTTGCATATGAACTTGCACATAGTTCTGGATTTTAAAAAAGGATGAATTGTCTCTGCCAAATTCAACAGAAGAGGGAGAAAAAGTCAAAAGGAATTCATACTTTCCTGCAATGATCCACATACAAGTGAAGTCTCATAACCACTGGCAGCGTCTGATACACATTCAGATGATTGTGCTGCAATTATGGCTTGCTGCACAACATCAGATGAGTTTCACAAGCCCTCAGAACTGCTGAGCGTCCAGCACCATGATTAATGTTTGAGTAAACAACTGGGAGACTCAGCTGGGTGAAAGCAGGGTTTCACCACACCATCCATGCTCTGCAAGCACCAGCCACAACTCACCTCTTCCCTCAGCTGTCACCTTCCAAAGGAAGAGGAAGGTGAAGGATGTGGACCATGTTGAGAAGAAAGTATGGCAACCATCTAACAATGGTACCGAAGAACAGTTAGGAGACCATATTCACTAGAAATCAGCACTTCCCAGCTGAAGTTGCCCTATTTTTAATAATTTGGGGGTTCTCTTGTCTCACCAAGAGGTTCATCACAGAATAGCTTCTGCGGTCAAGAAATCTCAGCCAAAACCTTGTTAGCAGACAATGGAGTTTAAAATTAATGTAGCTAATATATGCTAAGATAACATTCAGTATCTTTTATATATATATATGCATGCTTTTGAGAATGAAATACTACAGAACCGCAGGAGCCTATTTGTTTTTGAATGTTACTAACACATGTCAGCATTTGACCTACAGTCAACAAGTTCCAGATGACCTGCTGGGAAGCAAAGCCCTCAGCATCCTATACAACTGGTTACTGCTACAACGTATGTAGTCTAAAGACAGCATAGAAGAGGAGCAGCACCACTTGTCAACAAAACCTGAAGAAGAAGCAGAGGTTATGGAAGTTATTTTTCCATTAAGTTGGTATCACTTATTTTTTTTTACCCCTTTTGTCAATGGAAAGTTCTCAGGCTGAAGGGCATCTCTCAACTGAAACAAGAGAGCATGGCAGCTATTTTCAGTTTACTGTAGTTAAATGAGTGCATTATCTGATTAAAGAATGCAATAAATGTACTTACCAAATATTTCCCCTCCGCTAGCATATTCTGTCACTAGATAAATCATCCTCTCTGTCTCCATAACCTGGACATAAGGACAAAAAAAAACACAGATAAAGGAGACTGCTTCATGCAAAAAGAAACACGATAGAAAATTTGCATTCCTTGTATAATACATGCCCAGAAAACATAGGGTGGTTTTTGGTTTTTTCCTTTTTTTTTTTTTTAATATTGCATATTTTTGTTTCCAGAGAAACAAAATCTTTTATGACTTATTATTATAGTCCCTTTCTCCTTTTTTACCTTCTAAGTATTACACTTTCAACAAAACATGGTTTTAAACTCAGATTCCTGATAAAAAAGAATGAAAGGCTCTGAATTCCCAAATCCAGGTTTTAGTAACTTTTATTTAGGATTCTGGGGCAAGAAAAAAGCATGAAATAATCAATATACAAAGAGACATTCCCTAAGTATGTTAAAGTGTCATAATTCCGCAGTGTTTGCTCTAGACGTCTCAATTTTGGCTATTTGGCAAAAACAGCTAAACATTAACCTCTCTCACTCAGTTTTAACTCTTTGGCATCCAAATAATTGCTTACATCCACCAGGCACAGATCAGAAGTAGACTGGTCTTGAACGGACAAGGGTTTGATTCTAAGAAATGGCATAACCATTATTGAGGATTTAACTTCTCCCTTAAAATGCAAACATGAGCATCCCATTACAGAAGGAAATAACCCCCGACTATTTCCCCAGAATTTCAAGTTTCCACATTCCATTGCTTGCCATCAGAGAAGAGAAGCCACAAACAGCAGGTTACTCAACTTAATTACTCTCTTGCACTGTAATACTTTCCCAAGATAAAGGGCCCTGGACAATGTGTGTGCTTGCCCAAAGAGGAGCTGACTGGAAGCTCTCTCCCTTTCCTATTCAGGCTGTGGCTGTGAGCAGATGGCAGGTGGTCCTGCACGAGCCTGGCAGGCAGCAGGCAGCTCTGGAAGGGGACTGATAAGGAGCCATTTTCCGACAGCTTCCCAGAAATCAGATTGCACGCAACAGAAGAGAATTTGTACAGAGCTCTCAAACACTCTTTGGTTGTAAATAATTGTGTGAGACCTTGAATCAAAAAGATTCAGAGAGGGAATATTTCAGCAATCCATTAGTTTCCAGAATGGCACTGAGCATTTCACCAAGGTGTTGGCCCCTCTTACGTTCTTGCTCCCATCACTCTGCTCACTTCTGACCTGCTGTTCTGTTTGACCATGCTGAATACGTACGTAAAAAGCAGCACACGTGGATTCTGTCTCTGGCAATTCTGTTTGCAGAGTAAAAATGCCAAAGAAGCAAAAAGTCTGCAATCATTGGACAAAAGCAGGTGTGCCATTGCTATTGATCACCTTCCAAGAAAGCACAGAACAGATCAGCAAGTCCACAAACCACCAGGGAACTGTGCACAGAGGGAGAGGAGAGCAACGTGCTCTCAGTCCTGCTAAAGGATGAGAATTACTCTCTCCCTTTGGCTGAGAAGGGTAGCCCACATCCGGCTTCAACTGGGAAGTTGAAAGGCAGACAATAGCCATAAAGTAATGGCAAAGGGCCAGCCCCCAGCGGAAGTGTGATCTCCCAGAAAAGAGAAGGGTTAGCCACACTTTTTGCCTGTCCCCTTCTCAGTGAAGTACTTTGAGACCTTGAAAACATAAAGATTTCCCAGTACTTCACCTAGGAGAAAGAGAGGGACAAGCCTATGGAACACACTGCTGTACAATGTAAAGCTGTAGTGAAGATGGAGGGAAAACTGCAGAGTGTTCCTACCTGATATAACCTGATGATATGTGGATGGCAGAGCATCTTCATGATCTGAACTTCTCTAAATATCTTCTTCAGATTCTCTTCATCCAGCTGCGTCTTATCAATTATCTTTATAGCAACCTAGCAGAAGGGGAAAAGTTAAAAAAGAGGTTATTTACCCAGTCGTATATGTGGAAGAACATTTAAAACAAACACTGCACGTAAGACTACGCCGTGCTAAACACAGTACTTTGTAGTCCATGCCTCAGGGAGCCTGGGAGCTCTGCACAGCCTCACCTGCAGTAAGCTCCAGGGGCGCTGAACACAGAGATGGGGGCAATAAGGGAGAGGGAAGGGCAGCAGGGCAGTGGGCTCCAGTGTTACCCACACCTTGGCTTGCTTACTGTAGTGGAGTGGACACATATTAGCAGTGAGGGGATGCCAGGCTGCTAACAAGTCTTGCACACCCCGTGAGCTGCAAACACTACAGTTGCACTGCTGCTTGCAAACCAAACTTCAGCCATCAACAAACCTCAGTGCAAGACAGCAGCCACAGTATGTTAGTTCAGCTCAAGATCTGTGGGCTGAATTAACATCCACCAGCAAGTTGTTCTGCTTAGAGACAGCACTTTCCCTGAGAAAAGAGCCACTTTTACACAAGTTCTCCTGGTTGGTTTCCTGGTGTGTGATTTGCAGCACTTCTGTCCAAGAAGACTGCAGAATCACATAAAGATCAGGGGAAGGGCATTGAAAGCAGCACTGCGGGCACAAGTGCTGATGATGCACAATTGGAAAGATGTGACACAGGAGCTTGAAGCCCAGTTACGTAAATGCAAGCTTGCAGCAGGCTCCAGCATTCGCTAGGGATGGGGACAAGTGCTTTGCACAGAGGCCTGTTGCAGGCTCTTTCTGCCTTTATTCCAGCAGCAGGCACCACCACCATGTCCTGGTCCTGCAGGCACAAGCACGCAGCACAACATTCATGCTGCAGGGAGTGAAGGTGTCCAACCAACTCGCAGTTTTGACAGCACAGAAACAACAGCTACAGAAACGAGACACTCTGAGATAATAGGAAAGCATTATTTGCCTTGCAACCAGACACTTGCCCCAAGGATGAGAGTTTTTTCAAAGGCACTACCATAAAGGATGAGAATTTTAAAAGAGAATGGATCGAACCATTGGCCCTCCTCAACAGGACCACCACCTGTACACCGTCTGCCACAGGAACTGTGTCATCACCGCCCCAGCAGGCTGGGGTTTGGCACTCCTCAGCACAGCAAATTCAAGCAGTACTCCTGAAATCACCACTTCTTCTGCAGTCCAGTCCTTTGCAATATATACAGAACCTGATCTAGCTGTAGATATCTCTACTCGTTGCAGGGGAGGTGGCCTTCATAGGTCCCTTCCAACTCAAACGACTCTATCTCAAAAAATCAATTACCTCTGAAGTCTGTCATGATTAAAAGCATACAGAAGTCCCTCAAACAAGATATTGCTGGTGGAAGGCAGGACTTCACACCGAATCAGCCTGCAGAAACTGAACCACGTATGACTGGAACGCATCCAAGCTCTGAACTAATAGCCCTGACCTTCACACCCAGCACAGGTGTTGGCAGCAGGGGAAGCCCGAGTGCACGGGGCCAAGCACAGGGCCCTGTGGCTGCAGATTGGGCATGGGAGCACTGTGGGGCTTAGGAGCACTCTGCAGAGCTCCCTGCCAGCCACAGTGAGGAAAGCAGACATGGCCAGCAGCAAGTTGGTCTGGATTCTGATGCTGTTCCTCCTCCGGTGCCAAACCCCAAGTATGATGCCAAATGATGCTCCAAGAGGCATGGCACTATTTGGTGGAGGGAAAATGGAACAATACTATCCTGAGGATCTTCAAAGGAATGAAGCAAATGAAAATTAAGCTATGTATTTGATGAGAAAATCCGTGCCAGAAGAATAGCTACCCTGCATGTGAGCAAAACCCTGAAGAGGCACTATGTACAACAAGCTGGTTGGTTTTGTTTTTTTTTTTCACTTGAAACACTTAACTCAGAGCAGAGGAATCATTCCAGACGTCCAAGTCACCGAGCGTGCTTACTACAGCAAGAACAGAAGCTGTAAAGCAGCCAGGGCTGGCACTCGGCATCAGGAGTAGCTGGCAGCAGCAGGGCTGGAGCCAAGGCACAAGGTGAAGCAGCACAAGCAGCCCCTGCACGCCACTGCCAGGCACTAACGGGTGGTGATTAACAGGGTGACAAGTTGCTGCCGCGTCCCGGGCTGGCAGCATCCTCCATGGGCCAGCAGACATGCAGCAGCGTGCAGCTGTGAGCTGTGCTGCCGGAGGTCCACACCGCCAGGCTTCAAGGACAGTGCTCAGGAGTCGACTGGAAAACTTCAGAGAGTCAGAAGAGGTTTGGGAATGCTCGCATGCCTCTCCCCAAGGACTTGTTTCTTATGAACAAGCTTTTGTAAAGCTTAAACCAATGATGTTAAAAAAAAAAAAAAAACGGTGAGAAGCTTCCTGCAAGAGTGAAGGCAAGATGTCTACCCAGAGACATGAGTCATTTCCAGGCACAAATATTTAAATGAGAATCCACAGGTCTGGAGCACTCCTAAGCTCCTTACTTATTTCACAGCTGTATATTTGCTCAAAGGAAATCTCATTTCCCAGCTTAATCATCTGAGCTGAGCTGACACTTCTGGCCAAGTTCAAGGTAGGCAGAGCACGTGAAGGGATATAACTTGGACAGCGAGCACAAGTGGAACAGAATGGAATTCCTTTGCTCCTCTCTGATAGCGCAGGGCAGAGTACTGCCATCACATACACCTGTGTAAGAAGGTATACGAAGGCACTGCCTTCTTAAAGAGCTGCTACTTCCCCATCAAATGGGGAGTAAACCTGAGTCTGTCCTCTAAAGTGAGGAAGAGTCCTGGCACTTCTGAAGGATTTTCTTCCAAATGCATTTATTGAATTTAAATGCCTCCAGCGACAGAGATAACATAAAAGGTAAAAGTCTCCTGAAAAAGCCTGGGGAAAGCACCTCGTGCTCCAGTTTCAGGAAATTCAAGGCTTCCTCACCAGGCATGGGTGGAAGTAGGAAATCCCCTCGGTGCTCCTTGCAGAGGGACTGTGCAGGGAGTGCCAGGGCTGGGGGCTGGTGGAGGAACTGTGTGGGGTTTGTGTCAGATGCTTGGATGCCTTTTTCCAGAGTGAAGGAGTGGTTAAACAAAACAAAACAGTCTGAGTTGGTTTCTTCTCTCCTGCATTTCCCAGCTGGTTATTATCCTCCCTCCCTTGAAAGATGACTTGGCTGATGTGAGCCCTCCTTTTTGTTGAAATCCCAAGATGACTCCATCTAAAGATCAGCAATGCACAAAGGATGAGGTTCAGTCACTCACCTGGATGTAAACACCTGCCCACGCTCCGACCGACCCCACAGGTTATCCAGCCCTGGAATCAGGGCCACAAGTCCTGCTCCCTTATGCAGCACAGGCACTTCTAAGGAGCTGCATAATAATAGTGCCCAAGCAGGTGTGTAACTATTTTCTCCATAAAACATTGCTTGGGATTCCTTCCAATACTTGAAGGGTGCACATAAACAGGAAGGGGAATGGCTGTTTACGAGGGTGAGTAGTGATAGGACAAGGGGGAATGGTTTTAAACTGAGACAGGGGAAGTTTAGATTGGATATTAGGAGGAAGTTTTTCACCCAGAGGGTGGTGAGGCACTGGAACAGGTTGCCCAAAGAGGCTGTGGATGCCCCATCCCTGCAGGCATTCAAGGCCAGGCTGGATGTGGTTCTGGGCAGCCTGGTCTGCTGGTTGGCGACCTGCACACAGCAGGGGGTTGGAACCAGATGAGCACTGTGGTCCTTTTCAACCCAGGCCACTCTATGAGTCTAGGATTTCTGATCCTTTTGCTAATGCTTTCTTACCAGTCTTCTAATTGCACTCTTTTGGAGCAGACGGATCACAGCAGGCACCAGCACCCTCCAAGTATATTAGCACAGCACACTCAGTGGGGTCACCGTCCCACTGGGACAGGAGAAATGCTGCTGGGGTCAGTGCTCTGGGCTTGGCAGAGGGCTGCAATGCACCTCGAGGAGGAGGACAGCCCATTGCTCGTGCCAAGCAGTGTCTGAAGGAGCCAGGTGCTGCTTCACCCCCTCCCCTCCCCTCTGCCAGGCGTCACCGCTACCAGCTAAGACCCAGACAAGTGTTCCCATCACTCACAAGACAATTCCCATCAATCACCGCCCTCGTTGGCAGCTTCAGCAACAACCAGATCCGTGTCAATGACGCACGGCAGGCTGGCTGCTGGGGATGAGGCTGCAGTAGGATGCAGGGCTGAAGGCACGGCCCCGACAGTGCCCACAGCTGCTGCAGCCACAAGCACACTGCTCACCACTCAGAGCCATGGGAGGAGCACTGGCAGACGGGTTTCCAGCTTCAGTCGAGGGGAACGCTGACATTTATGGCACTATGGCTCTGCAAAAGGAACAAATCTCTTGAAGCACTGAGACTCAACCCCAGTTAAGCGCGCTCCCTCATCCCTGCAAATTCCACATAAAAATACAGAGAGGAAAGAGCAAGGCTAAACATCATTAAATACAGCACAAGTTAAGCTACAATTAAAAGTGGAAGAAAACCATAATCTAATTTCTTAAACAATGAAATGCTCTTTAAAAAGTAGTCTGAAAAATTAACTGTTCTTTTATCAAAAGTTAATGAAGCTTACATGCAGCAGGATACATGCCAGCTCTGGGGCATGCATGCTGCTACCAATTAACAAAATGTTCCCTCCACTTCTAAACATTTCATTTTCTTCCTTCTCGGAGCCAACTAACACACCAGTAGTTTGAGGGACAAATTGTTACTTGGAAGAAAAGGTAAGTTCCTAAAAACAACAATCCATAAAAAGAAGATGAGGCTTTCAAGCTGATGACTGTGAGGCTGTGCCCTCTGGGACAGAGGGTTTGGCCATGGCATCTCCATGCTCCTCCTTGGCTGGTGTGCTCCAGCTGAACACTGCTCTGTGTTTTCCTGACTCTAAAGCTGTGTGTGGATGGTGGGGGCCAGCCAACCTGCTCTTAATAGGAGTCTGCAGTAAGGAAGTGGGTTTTAAAAGCAGCCATGTGTACAAAATAAACATG